TTTTAGTTCTTATTTATTTTGATAAATGAATTTTCATCAAGTGAAAGCCACCCCAGTTCAAAGTTGATAATGGTAAAGTTGGTTTTTCAACACAAAAATCTTAAATATTTATTTTGAATTCTTTCTAATCTGTCAATTCAGTTGTTAATATCAATGAGGAAATTTATATTTTTATTAATCTAATAGCTCGACCACTAGCTTATTTGTCCATGTGCATAATAAATGTCATTCTATAGTAATAATTAATTGCTCTATACATATAAATGTTAGACATTTATCAAATGCCCGGTAAAAATTTTTATTTGCTTGATGGTCGTATTCAGAATTGTTGATTTTAGCGAAATACAACCTTGTACATTATTTGTTTGTTGTTTATATGAACCGCTTGTATCGCCCAGGTTATAGCCAAGTTTCGAAAATATAAATTTGCAATCTTATTGGTTTTTGGCAGGCATATAACGCGATATAGACCACCTCGCAAATTTAATTTAAAAATCCCCTTCAATACCCATGTTATGAATCACTATTGGTGCGAGCTTTAACTTCCGAAGAAATTTTCCACACTGACCAAATTAACTTCCGGACTTTCCTCGCCGAAATTGAATTTATCTTGTATAAGTTAGATAAGTAACCCATTCAACTTCGTACTGTTCGATTTTAGAAAGTTAACTTACTCCAAAACTTTACTCCATTTTCCCTAATAGGGTTATAGCCATGTTGGCGCTGGATATGTATTTTTTTTTAGTTTGAGCTTTGCTATTTGAAATGTGCGATACAGGGCTATTCACGCACACCGTTTATTGAAAGTTCACTAGACAGAGAATTGCATTATTTTATAAGATTTTCAGTAAGCTGCCATTTAAGGATCGACAGACGGTCACACCTACTTTAGGTGTGACCGCTACTTTATCATGTAAGAATAAATTCCAAATTCGTTTGAGTTAAGTTATTGATATTTTAAATTGGGATATAGATATTGAGGTGTAGTGTTCACTGAATTGCTGGGACCTGGTTTGACTATCTAGCGATATAAAAAAGTCATATCATTGCATTTATTCTTTCTCAGAAAATTATTTTTTTTGCTATTATCTCAGAAAATGCTACCTGGTGGCAAGGTAAGCATCGCATCGCAGTCGCATCACTCAGCACGATTGATAACCTCGAAAAATACTTTTATAATGACCCCAAGTTTACTAAAATTGGGCACTCCTCTACTACTAAACAAAAAAAAAATGAGAATTTGTCTCAGCTCTAACTTTACTAGATTAACAGTTTTCTAGAAACTGAGTTTTAAAATTCAATTAAAAAAAGAAAGCTATTTTTTGAGCCAGAAAGTCACCGCTCATATGGTAAAGGATTAAATGTTTAGAAATAAATATATTTATTATTAATATACAGTGAGACATGCGACAAAGTTTGTATTCGGCTCAACAAATTTTATATCTTGTGGTTCTGTTTTATGTTTCAGAGCATGCAGAACTATGTAATGGGTGTTTTTTTCGATGTATAGAACTTTAAGTTGGCATTACTGTTCAAGATGGCGATCGATTTAACAGCTGTCAAATGATTTATTCTCAGTTTGGTTTGGCAATTCATCATGAATAGACTCACGCCTGAACAACGCTTGCAAATAGTGCAATTTTATTTCGAAAATAATGGTTCTGGGCGGTATACGTATCGCGCACTACTTCCATTTTATCGTCTGCAAAATCGTCCATCAGAGCAGTTAATTCGATTGACCATGGAACGTTTTCGCACCACGTTTACTCTTATTGATAACTCGCATCCTCAGAAACGCCGTACGGTGCGTACAGAAGAAGCTATTGCTGCTGTAGAGCGTAGCATTGAGGAAGACCCGAATCAGTAAATCCGCCATCGGGCACTGGAATTGGATCTGTGTCCATCCACTTTGTGGAAGATTTTGCGGAAGGATCTTGGTTTACGTGCTTACAAAATCGAACTCGTGCAAGAATTGAAGCCAAACGATCAAGTAAAGCGTAGATTCGTCGAATGGGCCCAAAACGAGATTGCCGTTGTTCCCGATCTTCATAAACGAATTTTGTTTAGCGATGAAGCGCACTTCTGGTTGAATAGCTACATCAACAAATAAAACTGTCGCATTTGCAGCGAAGCTAATCCTCAAGTGTATGTCGAAACACCGTTACATCCAGAAAAACTCACTGTTTGCTGCGCTTTATGGGCTGGTGGAATCATTGGTCCGTACTTCTTCAAAAACGATGATGGCCAGAAGGGTACAGTCAATGGTATAGAGCTATGATTACTAACTCTTTCATTCCTGAATTTAATAGCCATGATGCCCAGGAGATGTGGTTTCAACAAGACGGCGCAACATGTCACACAGCTCGTTCCACAATCGATTCATTGAAAGACACGTTTGGTGACCGCCTAATTTCACGTTTTGCACCTGTGAATTGGCCTCCAAGATCTTGTGATTTAACACCGCTAGACTACTTTCTGCGGGACTATGTAAAGTCATTGGTCTATGCGGATAAGCCACAAACGCTTGACCATTTGGAAGACAACGTTTGCCGTGTTACTGCCGATATACGGCCACAAATGTTGAAAAAAGTAATCGAAAATTGGACGTCCAGATTAGACTACATCCGCGCCAGCCGCGGCGGTCATATGCCAGAAATCATATTTAAAATATAATGCCATAAGATTATGTTTCGGATAAATAAAATTCATGTCAATCGAATAATACATCGTTGTTGTATTGCAACTTAAAGTTCTACACATCGAAAAAAAACACCCCTTATAAATTATTATTTTTCCCATAAAATTAATGGTCAGAACGTTGTCATACGGTGTCAACTAGATCGAACACGGTACCGGTAATATAAAATATAAATTAAAATTAGTGAGGTTGAATATGAATTAACAAAAAAGGAGTTATATATTATATACGGTCAAATATAAAATAAAAATATTTTATTTCTTTACCTATCGTATACTTTGCTTTGTCTACTAAAAAAAATCAGACCACTTGGTGAAAGTTAAAAATTGGCCGCCGATTATCTTTCACAAAGATGTAGTTTTACACATACTGACTCAAAATTAAAACCAAATTTTAAAATTTTTTGCACACTTATAGTTTTCCCCAATGGATCGACTTAGTATTTTAATAAACCAAATCTGCAAATTAATATCACTCCTTTCCTTTCGTGCCAAAGCACTTGCGTGTGGGAAAGTGGATTAATTACACAAAGGTATATTTTTGACGGATTTTCCCTGAAATTAATATATACGGACGCCACTGCCCTGGCTACTCTGTCATGGCTACTTTAGAAACAGTTATTTCTCTGACTTAGATAGTTCAGTTCAGAAAACGTTATTATCACATTAGTGTTTTATTAATCATTAATTAAATTAGACTTTTATATTAACATATTGAATTATATAAAGTGATTCACGATTACTGACGTATTGTAACTTGTGAAAAACTAACAAAGGGAGCTCTTCTAAAGTTTATATAGGGTGTCCAAAGAGTGTGCCAAAGTAAGTATTTTTTGAGGAGGTATACACATTTTTACGAACAAAATATACACAAATTTTAATCCTTGCGAAAATATCACCAAAGAGTGAAAGCAAAATAAGTATTACCTGCAAAGTGTACAGAGACGAATTAAGTATAATTCTTGCAGAAATAATTTATTAAATCCGGGATTTAAATAAAAATAATAAATAAATAATAAAACCGAGAATAGTATAGACTATAACAACCTTACATGGAGTGAGTGAGTATACAAAAAAGTACCTATTAAGGCCGTAATATACTGGATGTTCTATAAAAAAATATATATTGATTTCCCACATATGTATGAAATTCCCTATATATTTGAAAATAATTTTAAATTGTTTGTTTTAGTCTCATCTATAACTCTTGCATTTAACATTTTTCCCTAATACAAATAATAAAAACATATTTATTTATTTATTAATTTTTTCTTTGCTTATTGCGATATTTTCTCCTAATTTGAAAAATTTTCGGGATTATGTTGGTAAAAATATGCATACCTCAAAAAATACTAAGTATATTTATAGGGAATTCTTAATTAAATTGAAAGAGCATTAGTTGGAGTAATTAATGGGGGTATAATATACAGGGCATTCAATTTAATTTTTTTACGAAAACTAAAATTGTTAATTTCGACTCACCCTGTATAAAGGATTCGAACTAACTTCAAGACAAGTTTAGGATACGTGACTATACTACTGTACACAGAGCATTTTTGACGAAAAATTGGCCATAAATCGGAAAACACCAGACTAGAACAACCCTACATTGAATATAAAGCAGAGTACCTACTAATACAGGTTGTTCCATTTAAAAATATATAAGTCTGTTGCCCACATATTTATGAATCACCTTGTATATTTGAGAATAGTTTGTCTTTTATTATTATCTGTAACTTTTGTATTTAACATTTTTTCTGAAACAAATAATAAACATATTAAAAATATGTTTCTAAATGCTTCGTTGGCACAAATTTCGAATTTAAAACAGATCGTCCTAAAAACAATATAAATAAGTGAAATATTCAAAATTAGTGAAAAACGTATTCACACATTTTCCAACATACTGTCAAGATTGTAAAATGAAAAATTTTAGGGAATGTTTTAAAAAACACGCTGTGTTGCTCCTCCAACCATTCGAACCTTCCCGGCAGTTATTTAATTTAAGCAATCATCAAATCAGTTTCAGACAGCGCTCTGAAGAAGTCAGCGGCATGTTTGATGTCAGCGATATATGTGTACCTACTCAGATAATTCTTTTTTCTATTTATTTATGATATTTTTACCATTAATATTTATAGTTTTACTGACTTTTTTTTTCAGTGTAAGAGATTACAAAGCAGATTTCCTTTTTTTTTCTATATTTACTGTTACTACTGATAGTTCTACTGCAACAATAACTAATATGTTATACAATTTGGCTGCGACAGTGTAATAATATATAACATCACATTTTGTTTCAGAAGAAAATCCTGCCGCCATGATGCATGCAAATTCCAGCGAGGGATCGACGGCACTATACATAAGCATTGTTTTCGCGATGACGATAAACATATTTATGATATAAAATGTAATGAAATTTTGTTCTAAACCTGATTTTTCAATATAAATTAGCAGCGAAATTAAAAACAATTGCGCGAATTGTATGTATATTTAATTAATATGATATTTGGATCTAAAACGATATAACGTCTTTTGTGTAATATTTGGGTTCAAATAAAAAACATGAAACTAAATTGAGTTTAACTAAATCCTACATCAGCTCAAACACTAATATTGGCCGTTTAAGAAAAATCCACTTTAGGCGTTTGTTGTTAAACCCATGTTTTACAATTCTTTAAAGCTAGTTATTTTTTATTCTCACAATATCGGTCCTAATTCATTTTTCGTTTTTTAAACCAGTCTTTTAAGATTATCGTACTTATTTCGCAAAACAAATTTCGCATATTATTACTACCATTACAATTAATAAATCCCACAATTTTTTAAAACAGAGTCTCTAGCGATCGAGGAAACAAATAATCTAATTTATTTCTTGCAGCCGGCATTCAATCCAATTGAGGAACGCATCTGTCTAACAAACCCCAAATTTGCCGCAGCACACTGCATAAGGCTAAAAAATTAATCAAGGATCCGGTTGCAACCACCCTACTGGCTAATAATTCAGGTTTACGATCACTGAGGGGCGTAATAGTGTCTTTCCGATTTATGCCACCCTATTTGTTAAACCATTAGATTCACAATGAAGGGCTAAATGCATGTCTGCGGTCGACAACGCTGAGATCAGATTTCTACTCGATACTGATTTATGTCTAGTCTTCCAGCGAGAGAATGGGGAACAATTTAAATATTGTGCCACCAGTTTATGGGTAAACAGTCTTCTGCGGGATTGGATTAAACATTTTTTTCATTTTTTTGGGGGGTATAATTTAATTTGGTTTATTTTGGGGAGAGAGAGGCAACTTTCAAGGGTGGACACCCTATAGGAGACCTAAAATAGAGGTGTCGAAAAAGCAGTGCGTTGCATTATGATGACCTCCAATTTGCAAGCCAAGAAGTATTTGCGTCCATAGGAGACATGTTATATTTTGCGCATTATAGCTGTTAGATAATATACAAGGTTTTACTGGCTGAAAGAAAGTTTTCAAGCGAGTAGTTTCATGCTCCTATTGAATGTCCATCCTCAACACTTTTTATATTGATTTCAGATCAGATTTCTATAAATTTGGTAGGTATTTATGTTCCCTATGTTAATTGTTAATAGCTAAATGACTTATACGAGGACTATAATTAGAATAGTAACTACTCAACAACTCGTTAATGAAAGATCTATAGCACTAATTACAATCGGTTTATTGTTAAATAATAAATGATAGTAACAAATTTCTGTGTTTTTTGCTTGAGAACTAAATTTGATTAATTTAACAATCGCATTATTTAAAAAGATTGGTAATACAAAAATATATCATAACGCCTTCATCAGAGAAACCAAAAACTAAAGACTTTTGAGGGCTACTGAGAAAAAATTCGGAACGTATTGGATAGTTTTATAATTTAAACCAGATTGGAAAAGTTTAATTGGTGTTTATAATTGTGATTACGTAACTAATTTGAAAAACCAAATCACTGGTCTGGTAATACGTCTTTCTTGAATAATAGAATCTAATAATATTGAACCGAGGTGGCTTTTACTTGATGAAAATCCATTTAACAAAATAAATAAGAACTAAAAGTTCAAATTTTCACTATATATATATATATATATATATATATATATATATATATATATATATATATATATATATATATATATATATATATATATATATATATATATATATATATATATATATATATATATATATATATATTACATGACAATTGTTTCAACAACATCGTGTTTTTATCAAAAGAGATTTGATAAAGACACAGTTTATTTAACAATGAAATATTTTAAATACTGATTATTAATAAACTTATTTTCATGAAGAGCGTATAAAAATTTTCCCGAAACACTGTCACAACCGGCAAACCGCGAATCCTTTAAAACGATTTAAAGTCGTAAATATTATGCACACGTGAACAACCCACTAAAAGCAAATAAATTTGCCTCGTGTTTTTTTCAGCTTCGAAAAATGAAAGGATAATTTGTCATCGCCCATTTAAGCGAAAAGGTTATGTGCAAAAAATGTAACGGAATGTCAAAAGAACGAGTGTCGTCCTCAATCACTGTCACCCACTTTCATCTTTAATACACAAGACATATATAAATCTGGTTTAATACAATATATATGACAAAGCAAGTTGCTGACTAATAATGATAATAAGATTAATGAAGGAGGAAATGAAAAGTTTATTAAAGAAGACGAATAAGTGGCCTAGCTCCGGCAAGCGGATTTTCCTGATTGATAATATTGTTGCAATTGCTATTTAGTCTAACGAAATTTAAAAGGGTCTCCTATATTTCAACGTCTGTCATGATTTGTTACGAGGTTGAGTTTGTCGCAGATATCACCATAGCTGTAATCTGTCTATCTGAAAAATTTAAGATGAATTTTGTTCACTCTGGATTTTGCTAATATGGTTTCCTATTGAGCATTCTATACTAAAAAAGCACATTGAAGGTGGCTCCTAACAAGTCGGCAAATGAAAATTTTTCAGAGAAAGAACTGTTGGGAAATGAATTGAAATGATCTTTACGAAAACCTACATTCTTAGTGGTCCATTCACAATGCGCTCGATTTGATAAACTTTAACTTCTCATAAAGCTATACACCAAGATTTCGTATTTTATCTATGCAATTATAATTAGTTTTAACAAGGGAAACTCTCATGACAGTATTTAGACGACATGATAAGCATGCCATTCTTATAGCTACATGTCACAAACCTGTCACTATTCTACTGCGATGTTTCTGAGTCGTTAGCATTCGTATTAACTTTAAAAAGTTTTGTATAAGAAGACTGCGTCGAACTGATTGGATATATAGACCTCAAAAGCGTGATCTTCAGAGCTAAGAATAAATTGCCGTTGGTGCACAAGTTGAACCGAGCCTTGGAAACCATCAAAGGGTGACTAGAACTAGAAATTAGTAAACAGTGGAACCCAAGGAGAAGTAATTCCAAACGGGTGGAGGGATAGGCGGGACATATCCGTCCATCCTTGGTAGATAAGAGGTCGAGCTTTTGAAAGCAATTATATACTTGGATGTCAATGAAGACGTCGGACTGGCGTCGTTTGGTACAATTATGCCAAAAATCAGAGGCCCGACAACGATCAAAAGAAGGCTACTGTACGGAGTAATGCAATCAGTACTATTGTATGGTGCTCTGATATAGGCAGAAGCCACCAAGATCGGTACGTACAGAAATGTCTTTGTACAATCGCAAAGGAGTCATCATAAGAGTAGCATGCGCATATGGAACAGTCTCTGCCTAGCCTCTACAGGTCTCTACGGGCATGTTTGATGATAGAGGAGGAAAAGTAACGTCTAAGAGAAAAACTTGCTGATGTGTGGCAGAGGACATGGGACCACGACATTCTGCAAGGCTAGCTGATCGAAGAGACTTATCCCGGAGAGAAACGGAAGGACCAAACTCAAACACGGGAATTTGAATGAATTCGAGAGATGTAAACATTGCAAAGAGACAGACAACGCTGAACAGACCGTCATGCAGTGTCCAAGATTTGCAAGGAAGAGAAGCGAAATTGCATGTATCACGGACTATAACCTCGAAACAAAATCCACAGAACAAATAGTAGATGACGATGTAAACTCTGAGATGCATTGGAGGACAGCGTAAAGAGGAGTAAATGAAACTAAAAGAAGAATATGAACCACCAGAATAGTGAAGCCAGCATCTTTTGAAGATCCCTAGCTATCTTCAGTTCAAATTTTTGAGTTAAATTTTAATCAGTTTTGATAACGGGAAAACATGGGCTTATTTTAGAATAGTGACTCGGAAAGAAATTATAGTGTTGCTGAAAAAAAAAATGCCCGAGAGAGCTACCCGCTTGGAACAATTTTTTCAAAAGATTGTCTTTTAACGTACTCCAAATCGCATTATCTTGTTAAATACTACGAAAACCAACAAACTCAGAAGCTGCAGAAAATTAAATTCTCTCTTATAAGATTTGTCGTCGCGTTCCTACCGGATCGATTAACGATTTTCGAATGTAAACGAACACGAATTTCCGAGTCGAAGAACAGCCTGCGCATAATACGTCTACAATATGAATCAAAATCGTTCGCTAGATAATACGTTATCCCCTGGGGCATTCAGAATTGGTACTGCAGTCGGAGTCATATCACCATATTACATTCACCGAATTGCCTCTCCGCCAAAATCTACATGCATATACGTTGTTTGATAATAAGGAAAGGTATTAAGTTTCCGTGTTTCTACATTAACATGTCTCCAAGTCATTTAATCCGTTTAACAAGAACTATAATAGTTGCTAAGGACAATTAAAAATTCTAGAGTTTCTTCAATATTTACTTGTTTATCGCAGGTTTATATAAAAAGGATAGCTACTATTAATAATAAATAATAAATTAATAATAAAGATATACGGAGTTTTATAATGCACATGTTTGTAATATTTTCATGCTATAGAAGTCCTGGATAACGGTTAATGTCGGGGTGTTTTTCTTAAGCAACTTATATTTTGCTTTTTGTTTTATTGAATATCGTTCTACATGAGTCGGTAAGTAATAGTTGTAAAGGGTGGCCCGTTTAAGAGCGGCCCATACCTTATCTCGTAGTAAAACAAAGTAATTAATAGAACACACTTACATTTTATTGCATATATATATATATATATATATATATATATATATATATATATATATATATATATATATATATATATATATATATATATATATATATGATGACACTATATTCCGGGATATCATCCGTTCGCGAACGGATGATATCCCGGAATATAGTGTCATCACATTTTTCCATCCGTGAATCAATACGTGAGAATATATATATATATATATATATATATATATATATATATATATATATATATATATATATATATATATATATATATATATATATATATATATATATATATATATATATATATATATATATATATATATATATATATATATATATATATATATATATATATATATATATATATATATATATATGTATATATATTCTCACA